GTGTGTGTGTGTGTGTGTGTGTGTGTGTGTGTGTGTGTGTGTGTGTGGTTTCAGAGCCCTGGAGGAGAAGAAGCAGGACATACGAGCCCAGAGGCTAAGAGTTTGTCCGAGGAGAAAGATAACAGGTAACTAAAAACAGCTGACTAGACTTATGGCTTTGCTTATGAATACATCAACTTAAATTGTATTATTCAAAAGCTATGCTGTTACTGTAGGAAAGTTTAATAAACATATAAGCCTACAAAATCCCCTCCCAAAACATTTCATTTTTTTCTAGGTTTCTCATCTCTTGTTCTTTTTAATGTTATTTGTTCTGGAATTATGTCGTCTTAAGGATACATTAATTGAGAAATACTATTTTGGGTTTTCTGCCCCTCAAGGCTTTCACTAATTAACTTGGTATTGTGTTCCCAGCGTGGCAGCATATTCACACAAGGATGAAGATGATGATTTCTGGTGAGCTGCTTGTTCCAGAGTGCCGTCATAAACTGACGAATCATACAAGCCTCTGCAGTCTTGTACTGTTTTTAACACGTGTGAAGCATTTATTGTTTATTTTAATATTTTGCTTTTCAGTATGTACAGTGTATTTGTCACAATATGTATACCAACTCTATACAGTATGTTTGAATAAATCATATTGGATTTTTTTTTAATTTAATTTCATTTATTTGGATTTACTATACACCCTCAAAACAAGATCTTTCTATCACACATAAGAAACAACATCACAACAGAGTATTTTTATTTTTTTATTCATAAAAACAGTCAACAGGCCAGTTGAGTAATGTCATGAAGGGGTTTTCAGTCAGACAGGATGCTGGATTGTTGTCCTCCTGGTGATTGATAGGTAGCCTTTATTCTTTAGTTTTTGGTTTATTCAACAGGAAACACAGCACACGAAGATGAGATGTACATTCGCTTCATGTACATCTCACTTCTTTCTCCTTGGCCACTGTGCACCTGTGGCTATTAGTCCTGCAGAGAACTATGCAGGTTCTGTCCACCAACATCTCCCAGATACTGAGTAAAACTCAATGGCATTCATACTTTGGCTAAATTTACCATTTAGGTTGCCGTACAATTTTATAAATGACTGGTGTTGCAACTAATTGTTATTTGAAAGGTGAATTAAAAGTTCAGCATCAGCAATTCACGAGGAAGCCCTTGACATTCATAGAAAATACAGGTATACTATGAGGCAACAAAATAATATAAGACTCATATACCTTCACTTGAAGAAAAAGGAAGCACTATAACTAATTATACATAAAAATGGATTAATTTGTATGCAGAATAAAAAGGAAACAGGCAAACACTGCCTACTACTGATGTCAGTATACATGACTGCACATCACATATCACTGCAGAAACGGCTGTCTTCATGCAACAAAGAAACCAGTAACTCATCTAATAGAAACAAAAGATTACATGAGTAATTATGTCAGCATTATGACATTTGCACATCAAAACAGGTGCAATAATAGAAAATTAAGAACAAAAATTAAGTAATTATATCTTTCAAAATAAGAAAAACGCACTAAGAATCCTGACTTGTAACAAGTTAACATTTGAACTTGTTACAAACTAAAAGGCTGCCTTGATCTTTTCCCATTTGCATTAATGAATATACATGGTCCAAACTTTAAAGATATTGAATATGCTTTTGTCTGATTATTGGCTACAGTTCACATTTAGCAAGCATGGCATTATCTGTAAAGGTTAAATCTAAGATACTGTGAGGTTGAGGAGCTCCCGGGGTGTGTGACTATGATGGGGATTTCAAAACCATCATTTTACAAATGTTTGTTCCAGTTAAATTGTTCCATAGGCTCTAGTGCACACCTGAGGTAGTGTTAATGGAGGCCATGAATGTTCTGAGTGACTTTTAATTAGCTGTACAATGGGAAATTAGAATCTAGAGCCAATTATGAACACATATTATCACTGGGTTCAATATTGTTTAACTTTTACAACAGAACAGGGTTGTGAAGTTAAAGTAAAAAATCTTCTGACGCAGTCTTGTGTCAGTACATTATAATTTGACGGTTCTTCTGACATGCTGCTATCTAGACGTGACACACCGACTTTAAATGTAAGGCCTTTCATGTCGTGTATAATTGATCTGCATTTCTGATTGGGAAAAAAAGAGCAAACAAATAAAATGTCACATTCCTTTGTTGAAAAGTGGCCGCCGCAGCTCAGAAGAAAGACAGAGCAAGACGGAAGAACAGCATGTCATCGTTATGCGTTGTATAAGAATAGGGCAACGTCTCAAGCTTTGCCAGCAAAACACTGGAGATAAAAAAAGGGGCAAGAGAAAATCAAACACTACGTGAATATCAGAATTCAAACCTGTTTTTCTTTTAGAAAAAAAAAAAAAAAAAGCATGAATGAAATTTTTAGTAGCAGTTCCAAAACACTTCTTGGTGAGTTAGTGCAGAAAGCAACACTGATGCATTAGTGTGTTAGGAGCCTGGTTAGTACTGCACAGTGTCAGGGCAGATGGCAGGTTATTTTAGCTGAGCGTCGTCTTGGACCAAAGGGGCCACAGTGGTTGGCTGCAGTGTCTGTGTGTCTTGAAGTGTGTGTGTGTGTGTGTGTGTGTGTGTGTGTGTGTGTGTGTGTGTGTGTGTGTGTGTGTGTGTGTGTGTGTGGAGGGTTTGTATGGATTATGAGTGTGTATCCTTATGTGTAGGAATTGAGGCATTCCTTTGAGCGTGACGTGATGTCCTGCAGCTCCCGCTCTTCCTTCATTTTGATGTCTTGGTAGGCATGCATTTGACTGGCATCCTTAAGGTAGGCCCAGTTTGCTGAGAGAATCATGAGGAAGTGGATCTGGAAGAGAAGGGTGAGGTGGATGGCCGGTGAGCATGTCAAAGATGCAAAGCAAGCTACAGGAGTCAGAGCTACAGTATGTACATCACGGACATACACAAACACAAAGTTAAGTTCTTCAAAAGACTTAAAACAAGGGTGACAAAAGACATTACTGAAAATGACTCGTAACATTGCTGTTACAATCATAACTAATACTAGAGTTATGCTACTATCTTGCTACGCACAATACTACAGAAGTGACACTTTTAAGGTGTTAGGATGAGTGAAGAGAAAGAGAGCCACAGGTTGTGCGTGTGAGTTGTATGCAGCTGCAAAAGCTTGAAGTTAGTGCAAAGCATGAGATTTTGTGAATCTGACCCTGATGCATTATGCGGTTCAGTATTACTGCATCCTGCTGTCGGATTTATAAGAAATAGACCAAGTAGGAATACTTTTGTAAACAAAGATTGTTTATTTTATATAGAAAGTAAAAGCTACAGTCTTCAAAAACTTAGGAGAAAATTAAATATATGAAATATGGAGTATAAGTAACTATAAACAGATCAAGGCATCTGAAAAAATGTAAGCATGCAGGCTCAGTGTTAAGATCAAAACAAACGGCTCTTAAATGGCACTTTGAGAAATAATAAAAGGAAAATGTAGGAAACAAAACATCAACTTCATAGCTGAGGCTATTCCAGCATCAGCCCTCATAGAAAGCAAAACACATTTACTCTACTCTAACATAGGATCATTTCTTATTTATTTATAAAATACATGAAATAAAGTGAAGCTTAGGGCCTCATGCAGAAGTATACCCCTGGTACTGGCCTAACCCTTCAGAGTGTGCTGTGCTAGGTATGTGCAGTTACTTTGAAATCTACAATAAACACAACTGATCACCATAATATTCATCAGCAGAATACAGTTGATGAACGGGTTTTAGTTCAGTTTAGAATCTAACTTGTGACAAAGGAAATAATACTGAATATTTTCTGTGTAACACTTCATGGTTTCAGGAGTCAGTGCCAACATTTTAAGGCTAAGGAAAGAAACCAAAGAAATATAAGGACAAGGCACTTTGCCTCTGTAACTGGTCCTTTTACAGATTTATCGCTGGAATTCATCCTCACCAAAGCTGATAATCTGGCATTCAAAAACACCTTAAATATTTGTCATCAGATGTCCTCACGGACTAATTTTAGAGCTGTATTCTGTTCATCAATATTGGCCTAGTGCAGTGTTGATGGTCTCATGTCCAACTTGGATTATTTCTAAAATTGTATCTTACAGCCTGTGCAACAGTCTTACATAGAGTTCCACAAGGGCCTCAGGAGTTTGTGCACAAATTCGCATTTCAGCTCCGACTGGAGTCGACTGATGCTCGTCCATTAATGCTGCAAGCTAAATACTGTAAGGTTTTGTGCAGGTTAAAACTCAGCTTCAAGCATTACAAATATAAAAAAAAATGTGTTTTTGTGATTTCTAGTTGTGCACATTTCTATAAAATCTGATGGTGACACATTTCTATAAGAGAGTGCCAAAGAAAGCAGAACAAACCAGCCAACAGAACACCACCCCAATCTGGAGACAACTTTCATCAGGTGTCCTCAGACAAGCAATATCCCTAAAGGAAGCATACAGTGAGCTATTTACACTTCATGTGATTACTAATGGAGAGATGTTGGTTTTTCCTATTTTCAGGTTGTTGTTTTTTTAGTTTGATTTTTGTCAGTGGCAACTGCCTCTAATAGATTACAGCCTCAAATGCTGTACTGTGCTCTCGAAACAGATTAAAACTTAGTGCAGCAGTCTTCTCGACTTTTAAACTTCAAAACAGCAAAGTTATAAGTGGTAGCCATCATGTAGATCAGCTGGTGGAAGAGAACAGAAAAGGTTGTAAGACAACATGCCGGTGACCTCCTCGTCACTACTCTGACAAGTTAGTAAAGTGACCAATCATTTTATAGCAGTAAAAAGTTCAGGAAAAAAAAATGTGAGTATAGTTTAAAAAAAATCCTATTTGTGATTTTATAGTTCATGATTGTGATTCTTTTTTTGAAATTACAGTCTTTTATGGTACAAAAACATAAGCCCAAACTGTGCTCTCTTCCATCCATATTGTAAAAACAGGGCCATGTGCATCTAAGCAGATGGGGAACAGCAAATGGAATTGGAGCTGAGGAAAAGCCTGTGTGTACTCTTCCTTGGTATGGGAATGAGAAGAGGAGCACTTGACACATGATCTGCCGATACAAACAATGGACTAAAGGGAGAGGATGGAGAGACCGGAGGGAAGCTTACCAGAGCGATCACCGTGGCTCCTGCCCCGGCGCAGGCTACGATGTATAGGTGATAAGACAGGTAGAACTGGAAAAAGATAACAAACTGTGATTATTTTCCCGTTTAAATACATGATGTCCATGACATATACTGCTGCTGTCATTTTCTGATGTATCTCTGCCATTAGTAGGAATGAGTTTGGTTAGAAAACAACCTCTTACCTCACTAGTGTCACAGATGTCACCTAGCGTAGATCCACAGGCCTTGCCAGGTGTGGCATTCCATGGGATAATTCCTGGAGGCATGAAATTCACAGGTTTTCATATACACTCCTTTCTACTTCCTTCATTGCACCACTTAAATTATGATCAAACTGTCCAATACTATGAATTGAGCAAAACACAATTAAAGAAAAAATATATATCTGAAAAAAAGAGGCACTCCACCAATTGTACACATGAAGATCATTCCTAATTCTGATTGGAAGCCAGTCAGGCAGGGTGTAAGGAAGGATGCAGTCGAGTTGCAATATAGGAAGTGTACGATCCGGTGTTTTAGAACCTGACCTATGACTAAGAGATATGATGGCTCGTCCTCTGTCGCTTTGATTTGAAGCATTCTCTTATTTTCATCTGTCCCCTGCAAGTTCGCAAACTTTAAGGAAGTGCAAGAGTAATATGCTGGAGGACATCTTTAATTTTTACCTCTCTGCTTTAAAATGATTCAAATAAAAAGGGGGGAGGGGGGGATTGTTCTTTGATTTAACTGATCACAAGGCATATGCAACAGGTGATGAGCGCTCACAAGTAGACATTGCTTGGTTTTAAGGGGTCCCCTAATCCCCTAATTGAGAGTGTTGTATTATTTCTAAGCCACCTCAGTGTATACACCAATAAAAAAAGACATACTCTTGCACAAAGTGCTATTCTCTTACCGTACTGACGAACATCCACACAGATGGAATCAATGTTGGTGAGGTTGGCCATGGGAGACCTCATGGTGGCACAGGTAGACCACATGTTGTAGAAGAGGAAGACCGGCACGGCGGAGAAGCCGAACACACCGAGCCAGGCCACACCCAGAATGTATGTGAGGAACACAAACTGAGGACACAGACATGGCACAATGTTATGCTCCCCATCCTCATCCTAATGCGCTTTCTTTTCTGTCATACTTTTTTCCTATAAGGAACACATTTCTATGCATCTTTTATTTTAATCACATGGCATGAAACCTTTTTGTTTAAGTACTCTGTGTTTAAAAATTCCGGTCGGACACAGCAGTGTGGTTGTATTGACATACCATTCCACTGATGCAGCGTCCACAGATGGTGGTCTTGAACTCGCTGTGCAGTTCTTTCACTGCACTGGTTGTGTAGAAGCCCTCAGCGAGCAGGATGATCCCATACAGGAAGAAAAACGAAGCAATGCCATAGATGACATACTGCATCAGCTGTATTCTGTTAAAGAGCAATGTCACACATGAGCCAAGTCATGCCTGTAAAGGTGCAACAGGTTAAAAAACAAAGTAAGCAAAAAATCGAGCGCTAACATGCTTTTAGCCTCCAAACTTAACACCTGGAGAGACCCACTACAAATATCAGGTGAAGTAATACCATGACCTACCACGGAAATAGCTGCTTACAATCATTTATAACTTATAACTTGCAGGCAATCTTGAAAACATGAGTAACCTGGGCTGGCTTATTAATCAGATCATTAAACAGATGTTTATGATTAAGATAGGGATCCAGCATCCCTAAGAATTAAAGAGAGACGCTAAGCCCAAATGTGGAGAAAACAGGTGATACATGTCTCTGGAAATAATCTGCCAGGAGACAGACTGCCCCTGTAGACATCTTAAATTAAACAGTGCACTCCAAATCTACGCCAACATAAAACATATGTGCAGTCCTGTCTCTTTTTTATTGTATCGGCTAATGGATCCACTTCAAAATAAAGTAAAAAAAGAGCCATTTTAGGACTGTTCTCCGGGATGAGGTGAACGTTGGAGACGTGGTCAGCTAAATATAGCCTACATAAAGTCACCTTCATTAAAAGTGAGATCCATCTTACTTTTAGACCTCTCTTTATTGTGACGGTTACGTAAGAGCACACTTTCAGTGTAATAGATCCCAAGCATTATAAGCAGCCATGTAGCACATACATACGAGGTCACTTACACATCAGTCAGCATGGCATGATCACTGGTGACCTTGGAGAAGTGGCTTTCCAGGATGGCCAAGGTGCCAGTGAGAGCCACATGGCCACATCCACAGAACAGGGCGACGCCAGAGAAGCAGAGGATTGTAGCCACCAGCGACGCATACGGCACCCCGCCTAAACATTTGATGCAGCACTCAAAGCAGCCTGTGGAAAAAAAAAGACAGACAAACTAGGTCAGCGACAAGTGTCGTTGGATATCATGCAGTGTTGGATATGGATATCATGCATCAGCAGTGTTTTATGCCAAAATGTTTTGCTTTAAAAGGCAACAGTAAACATCAGCCCCCAATTCCATAAAAGGGATTAACTTGCAGGACAGGAAGTGATCTCAAGGGGATGAAGTATGAGATGAATATTCACATGAGTCATTCATTTATCCATCAAGCCTATCCCAGACACCAAAGGACATTTTGTCTTGCATCATGACTCATTAAAGAACAGAAACACAGGCTTTTCACTAACATATCTCAAGAACAAAGGAACTGACAAAGACAGAGCAGACAAGTCTGTTTCAACATAAGTTTCAGAAAATACATCTGTGGCCGTGCTTCCTTTCAAGACTTCTGCTATGTCAACTCCCAGCAGCAACAGTCCAGTGTGCTGCATGCGGCTTTTTACAGTCTACGTTGTCTTTACTGTTTCATCCGACAATTCATCACTACACTTAAAGGGCACTAATGTCCATCCAGCAGGTCAGAGCAATGACTGTCAGCCAAGCTGTAATGGAAATCAATGGCAACTCACAATGAGGGTATGAAGTGACCCAGATGGATCTGCCTCATTCAGTGTGTTGTTATACCTCGTGAAATGGAGCCGGTCACCACAATGCTGTATTTGTGGATGCATGCAAACAAAACCACAGTGTGCTTCCAATCAGATCCACATGTGTGTCTGACAGGATGTTGTTGAGTCATAGGACATCCAAATCGTTGGCTGTTTATGCTCCTCAAAGCTCTCACATATGCCTGGTGTCACATGGAAACTAAAGTGTTTAAAGCTGCTTTAATCAATACGTGTACATTAACAATGGATGAAATGACTGTGTATGTGACAAAAGGTCACTCGTAGTAAAACAGAGCTAGACGGAGAGTGAGCACTGGACTATACGTTAAGTACACACAAACACATCTCCGAATGAATATTAATGTTACTCTGCATTTGCTGGATATGTAAATAAGCAATTGTTTAATAACATGTTTGCCATATCAGCTAACTGTTCTGCTCCCCACGTGGCCAAAATTAAAACAGGTTTTCACAGGTCACAGAACAGATTTTTGCAAATGCACCATTATCTAAGCACAGCCTACTGTATGTAATAGAAACAAGACAATAATAATGTAGTAGAAAACATATAGCATGGAGAAAGAGTTGTAGATAGGTGAGCAGAGGCTAACGGGTGATTGACTGAATAGGCCTACATTTCTTATCTAGCTGCTCTGTCTTGTATGTAGTAGGAAACGGGAAATGCGAGGCTGCTGAGCACATCCTCAACACTTATTTGTGTTTTTCTTGAAGAAAAAAAGACCAAAAATTCCACTTTTGGATCCTGAAAGTTCATCTGTGTTTGTGCTCTTTGCTGTAACAAAAGGAGTTTAAAACGGATATACTGCTGCTGGGTCAACACTTCTGCAGTCGGACGCTTTATCCTGACTGTTTGTGTAGTACGGGGAGATAAAAACATTTCTGTCCCATGGTGGGAGAATGGGAGTTGCCATGGCAGCATGTTAACCTCAACTCAATGACTGTGCCCACAGCAGAGTCGCTAACTTCTACCGCAGCCCACATTTCTCTGATGAACATGTCGGGGGGAGGGGGAGTGGGCTGCTGGGAGTCAGAGCGCAGAGCTCCACAGGATATTGAGCCCAGCTGCAAAGTGAATACAGTTCATTTAAAGGAAGAACTGCTCTAGTAGTGGATGTCACTGTCAGGTAGTCCTGATCCAGTAGCAGTCTGTATCTTTGTTCTAAATCCATCTGTTTGCCCTCCTGAAGAAAAGAAATGTTTCCATATGAAAAGTAGGTCTATTACCAAATCTCTTGTATTTAATGTGCATTTAATGAATGACAGAGGCAGTCACAAGTCTCTGGTTTACTGTCAATTCCTTTGATTGTAATCAATTGCGACATGTCATGGATGAAAATCAGCATGACCGCCCAACTCATTATGTGTCTGCCTTCAAACCCTGTCTTGATATACAGTATGTGTCACTAGTCCCATTAGATCATTTGTGCCTTAGTGGATAGAATGGTGTCGGATGCCACGATATCTGTCAGTCTGCCTCGATGGTCTGATTGTGAAAATGGAAAAAAAAAAAACGATCACAGACTGGGAATTCTTCAGCTATAAGAACCAAAACTGTCGATACTAAATGTATGAAATGCTTTAAAATGTCGTGTTGACCATTGTACCACCCTCCCCTGGAGCCTGTCACGGACAATGTCAGACTGACATGTTTGCGTCCGTCATGCTTGTCTAACCTGGAGCACTTAGAGAGACAAAACATAGTTTATGTTTGAAAGCCACTATTCCGATCGATAAGCCATCTGTTTGATTAGTGTCCATTCCACAGTGGTGGTTTGCTTTTAAAGCATCCGACCATTCAGACAGAGAAGACACATTAGACATCTCTCTCTCTCTCTCAATGGATAAACCTTGTGTAACCTTGTAATAACGCACTATATCCGAGGTGGTATTTTCACAGCTGGTCTGGACATGTTGGCAGGTTAGTAGAACTCTGTTCTGGTTGACTGTAGAAAACACTGGCGAGGACAGCCCCTTTGACGAGGTTCAACTATTAGCAGCCTCAGGAATACTACTCTGTTCACAAAGGGCCTCTGTGAACGCTTTAGTCTTGGTGTTAGACATCAGGGGGGACATCAAAGCCCAACTACACTTTTAAGCAGAACCACGGGGACGATAGTCTGCACCAGAGTAAAATCACTCTCATTCAGCCGATAAATTCAATAATTCAAATTTGTTGGATATTGCGGGGTCTGTGAGATATTATGTTATCCTTGTTATTAAATCTGCCGTCTTTGTAAAAGCCCTCGTGATTCAGAATCAGCTCTTGAAACCAGCTTTGTTTCTTTTTCCTTCTCTTTTGAGGGGAGGTGGGGCTGGGTTAAAAGGAATAGATTTAATTTGGGGAAATTTGGGGAAATTCATACAGTATATTCACTTTCTTTTTCGATGAGAAGATTCTCATCTACCTATTGTTTTGATTTACTGTAAAACTTTAATCTTGAAATGAAACATCTCTATTCAGGTGTTCTTTTGTTTTTCCAAAATGTGTTTGTGTTCAATGTAATTCAAATTACAAAGTCTAGTTCAAAGAGGACCATGGATTCTGCAATTAGACTGATGGGTAACACAAAATTTCACAGAGGAAGTTGTAATGTCTATTTTAGAGTTATAAAATATTCAGGCAGTATCAGTAAATCTGCCACACAGCAAAGTACAGATCAGAATGTACTGTGTGGGATTTTATAGCGTACATGATATTGCGGGCAGACTTTAGTTCAAGTCATCCTCCTCCACAGGGAACAGTAACAGTAGGAACTGGTGACTCTCTCAACAACAAGCTTGTACTAAATGGATCCTGTTGGCTTGTTCACGTTGGGCCTTTTCCCTCTGATGACTTTCACATGCTCCCAGCCGCTGACTAATACTCCTGGTTAGACTTACCACTTCAAGAATCCCCACTCTCCGTCTCATCGCTACAGAACACAAATAAGAGGACATATTGAATGAAAAATAGAGTGAGAGAGAGAAACACAGACAAGTTAGCGACTGTTTGCAATGACAATGTCCGGCCTTACAGCAGAGGCTACATTTGCCACATCGGGGTCACGAGGAGCGAGAGAAAAAAAAGACGCCAGTGTGAGAAAAAGTGTGTGTGTGTGTGTGTGTGTGTGTGTGCGCAAATTTATGACATTGTGTGAGAGAGACAGAAAAAAAATAGAGACACAGTCCAAGAAGCCCTGACACAAAGAGCCAGTGTGTGCAGCCCTAGACTGTCCATCACACTGGACTCTCAGGGGCCGTTCAGAATAGCAGTGAACCACAGTCCCGCTCTTCCGGCCCGCAGGCGCGAGGCCCAGGACAAGCCCACCGCTGAGCTCCATCCTGTGTGCCCCTCCAGCACTGCACACAGCTTGGCCACAATGAGCCACAGCAGCCACTTCACACTCCGGGAGGATCCTGTTTGTCAAAGCAGCTCATATCAGCCAACGTGTGAATGAGATGGCTCATTAAGACAAACACACACAGCTAGGCTGACCAAGTAAACGGGGGTGGGTTACGGGCAAAGGGGAGACAGAAAGGAGGAACGAACAACAAAAAGTCCCCGCAGTTCATGTTTGGTGACCAGCAAGGTGCCCTGTTTTTGGTAATTTGATAACTTGCAAATTTGGAACGGAATTATAATCATTTAAGGACAATATCAACTGGGCCACATGTTATTACATAATACATCTTCATTATTTTAGTGTATATTGTGCTCACATGGTTCCCTTTTCATAAATGAAACTGTTTTTTTTTAATCAAATTATACTTAGGTACAGAAAACCTGAGGCCAGGTACTGCTTTAGCAGTTAGAAATGCATCAATTAGTCAATTAATTGGTTAATTACTTGAAGAGAAAAATAAGTTCTGATAATCGGTTAATCAAAAACAATGTGTCCAGCTTCTCAAATGTCTATAATCATCTAGTTCTCTTTGTCTCATAAACGAAATATCTTGGTGTTTTGGACTGCTGGCCAAACGGAATAAGACATTTAAAGATGTCTCCTTGGACTCCAAACAATTAATCAACAAGTACAAAAAGCAATTAGTAAATTATAATAGGAATAGGAAGGAAGGAAAACAAGTTGTTATCTGGGTTTGCCTACAAATATAATGAAGCTGCCATAGTGTGCTGTGTGCTCTGTACTTGATGGGTACCAGGGGTAACAGGGGCCCCAACAGGATGCTTTTCCCAGTGTCTCCAAACAAGTTAATCCATCCATGCCTCGAAATGCAAACGAATCACAGTTTGCTTGAGCCCAGACTCGTCACACTAACCCCAGCAGCTGGCTCTTCTTCATCACCTTCATCACCTCCCTCCATCATCCTACAGACATCACGTGAACACAGCCTGTCAACACCACAAAGCTGAAATCTTCCGACAGCTGGGACCCTCAATGGAAAGTGGAAAATTGTCCTCGATTGAGAAATACCAACTGTATGTGATCAAGTCAGCAGCAGACATTTTGAAAAACATTGTTTAGTTTGATGACAAGACACAAACAACCCCACCTACGCAAACAACAAACCACATAGAAACACATAGAAGCCACACATAACCATATGTACACAGTAAGAGTATGTATATTATATACAAATACATCCCACTTTCACAAACAAACAAACTTGGACACACACAGAGATGAAAACATTGCAACTCTTCCATCTCATCCCTGAGACTTGAACAACAAATTGGTTTTCAGCTCCGATAAAAAGCACCATCCCGTTTTAATCTTGCATCCAGCCTCATTGCTGACAGATGTGTCAGCAATGTTAAGTATTGTCATTTGTTGCTCACTGGGGCGAGCTGCCAAAACCCCATTTATGAGAAACAGTCTCATTTTCCACACTCTCCACTTTGAGAGGAGACTTAAAAATGCCATAATGGCTGTAATGGCCATTCTCAAGGGACGCGGGAGATCTGACCCTGCCAATACGTCAAAAAGTGGTCTCAGAGTTCTAACGAGGGAAACGTATACTCTGTCAGCTAATAGCTGTTGACTGCAGCTCACCATGACAGTGTGTGAATGGAGGGGAGGGAGATGTGTGGATGTGCTCAATGACAATAAAAGGCAATGATGACCGTAATGGCTCATAAATTGAGTGTTTGTGTACATTAGAGGACTACATTTGTGATCATGAACCGTGTGAAATGCAAGTAAATGATGGGTGTCAAGTCAGGTCAACTCTTTTTATCGGCCAATATCACATAGAGTGTCTTAGTGGGCTTTGTAGGCCCACAGGTTCCAGACCCAGCCTCAGGGACAGCTCCTTTTAAAAAGGACATAGCTCAGAGCCCGAACCGTGTGATCACAATGTTTGTTGCATGTCATTCCCCATCTCTCACCCATCATTTCGGGACTCTCTACTGTCCTCATAAAATGTTGAAAAAATATACGAGTGGGGGAATAAACAATTGTTGATGGACAAAGAAATCATTGACAACAATTCTTGTAATTGGTTAATCTTTTGAGTAAGCTGTCAAGCAAAACTTCTAAACATTAGCTGGTTCCATCTTCTCAAATGTGAGGATTTGCTGCTTTTCTCAGTTTTATTTCACTGTAAATGAAGTACTTTGGGTTTTTTTAACTGTTGATCAGACAAAACAAACTTCAACTATGGGAAGCTGTAAAGGACATTTGCTCTATTATCTGACAGATTGACAGAATGGTTACTGCCCCAGTGACTGTTACAGACATTGTCAACATTGTCAAAGGTGCAATGATTTGTTAGATGTTAAATTTTGGAACAAAAAACTTCTAATATACAAATTTAGAGATGATTAAATACCACTCAAAGAAAAGAAAGTTTATTATTGGTATTGCATTATCACATTAGTAAGCACCACAACCTTTCTTGGGAAAAGTACTCATCTAAATGTACAATATTTGACCTGAAATAGATGTTTAGAAGACAGATTTAATGACTTTCTCTCTCTCCTCGGTGTACACACTCCTCACGGCTGTCTATTTCTGAGACTGGTAATGTCTGGTTCATTTATCTTTGTCCTTGCCAGCCCCTCATCCTCCTCATTAATCATCCACCATCCTGAAAGAACAAGTCAAACGCACCCTGAGGTTTGATTGATCTGCTGTTGATTCTGCAACAGGCTCATTGTCCTTAAAAGTGACACTAGCATGATGATGACCAGCGGCATCACAGCATCCCTTCTGCTGCACGAGGGATGTCTGCTGAAAGCATCCCACATACTTAAATGAACTAGATCATAAAACAAGCACAGGCAAACTACTGCAGCAAAGAACAGCACACTAGAAGCATGACAGAGGCGATGCAATGCACAATCGGAAACTGGAATATCATTAATTATGTGCGATTATGAAGGATGAACAAAGTCCCTGCTGAGCAGAATCGACCCAACTATTGTGGAGAGTGAAACCACACAGGCTGGACTAGGTTAAAGCCCCAGTAAACACAGTAGTGAAAAGAACTGAACTGGCTCTTTGTGAGCGCTCATTGGTACCTCTTTTGTCCAGCCTCTGGTCTTGGTTTTCTTCTGATGGAGTTTCCATGGTTGTTTTTCTCCCATTCAACAAAAATGCTTCCTTTCAGCAAATTCTCTCTTCCTTACTCTCTCCTCTCTTGCTCCCTCTCCTCCCTGCACGTTTCTGCTCTCTCTCTCTCTCTCTCTCTCTCTCTCTCTCTCTCTCTCTCTCT